CCCCCCCCCGGACCATATTGCAACTACCCCCCGCCTCCGTGCAGCCCCAGCGCCCTGGACCAGCCTTGCAACTGCCAAATGCAAAGAGACAGGCAGGCGGATTAAAAACACCCTCCCTGGAACATGGAGAAGAAAATGAATCCCCCCCCCCCCCCACACACACACACACACGCGCTGCTCACCCTCTGCCCCCTCCCTTTGCAACCCCCCTTCCCCTCAGAATTCTCGGACAAGCCCCCCCCCACACACACACACTTGCCCCCCCCCATGTCCAAAAAAAATCCAATTATAAAGTTGGGGTGGGGATAAAGTAAAGCACACGCCAGGGGGAGCGGGGACTTTCCTCCTTCCAAGGCAGCCTCCCTGTGCGAGGTGGGGGGGCGGCAAGGGGGGGGGGGTGAAATGTCCACTTGATTCAGCACCTCCCCTCTGCCCCCCCCCACCGAGACACCCCGATCCCCCCCAGTCTTACCTTGCTGGTCCTGGGGGTGGCGGGGCTGGGGGTGGGGGGGGGCCCTGCCTGGAGTTTGGAGTCAGTTCCCGGCCAGCTCTGCCTCTCTCTCTGGTGTTACTGCCCCTACTGTAACTGTATATGCAAAGCCCCGTATGATGCTTCCTGGTTTCTCTAAGGGCAAAGGGGTCCTCCCTTCTCTTAAAGGTGCAGCCGCCTCCCCTCTGCCTCCCCAGGCGGCGAGCCTCCGCGCAAGGGCGACGGAAACAGGCTCGGCAAGTCCCAGCAGAGAGACACCCTCCTGCCACGGCTCGCCCTTCGCTGCTCCTGCATCGGCTCCCCCAGAGATACAGTCCCACCCCCCAGCCGGGAGAGGGGAGCTGCCCCACTCCCCTGCCTTCCTCCCTGGCTGCCATCCGTGTTATCTAACCCAGAGCACCCTTGGGAGAAGGGAGCTGTTGTGGTCCTGGACACACGCGCACGTGCTCACACGTGGAAGCCGTTTTGTTTGTTCTCAGCTGCTACAGAACATCCCCTGGGGAAGTTGGGTCATTTTCGCTTAAAACGGGCAACGCGGGTCCCCTGGCTAGAGGCAGGGGAGAGGTGGGTTCCGGTTCCCCATCTCTGCCTCATGCGTCCCAGGCCACCTTCGCCAAATCGCAGCGGCCACTCCATGCCTCAGTTTCCCCCTGGGTACCACAGGAGTGACGATATTTGTAAAGAGCCCGGAGAGACATTGGAAAGCGCTGGAGACCGCCAAGTGCAATTGGACTGTTACTAAGATTTCCCCTTTAGTGGCTAGAGTGGAGGGCTAGGAATCAGGTAGGGTGACCAGTCAGCAAGTGTGAAAAATCGGGACGGGGGTGGGTGGTATTAGGAGTCTATATAAGAAAAAGACCCCAAAATCAGGACTGTTCCTATAAAATCGGGACATCTGGTCACCCTAGAATCAGGACACCTGGGTTCTCCTCCGGGCTGAACTACTGAGCGACCTTGGATAAGTCACTTCCCTGCTCCATGCCTCAGTTTCCCCTCCCACCCTTTGTCTGTCTTGTCTATTTAGATGGCAAACTCTTTGGGGTGGGGACTGTCTCCTAGTAAGTGTCATTTTGGGGGTTGACACACTGAGTGGTCCACAGAAAATCAGTCACGCCTATGAGGTAGCCTCAAGCAAACAGTCCAGCTCCTAAAAACGAGAGATGGGAAAGTCCTGTTGCGCTACCTAGCCCCATACCCTGCCCAATTACATTTTATTTATTCGCAGGGTTTTCTGTAGTACTCAGTGCCATCATATCTGAGTGGCTGACAAACATTAACCAGTATCCTTAGAATAGCTCTTTGGTATTAGCACCCCCAGAACAGAGCCTGAGTTACCCACACAGGAAGTCTGTGGCAGAACCAGGATGTAGGTCCTAACACATGTTCCTCATGTCGCTTAATGCTCTGCAAGAAGATGCTCAAATACTACGGTGGTGGGCACGGTATAAGAACCTAGTGGACAGAATAGATTCAAGATCACCTGTGTCTCAGCCCAGTTAATTGACCTCAATATATTCTTCCCCTGTTAGGAGGTTCAGGTATAAATGTTCAGTCTGCATTCAAGAAACTGTATACTATCTCACCCCCTTCAATGAAATCAGAACAACCCACCCTGTATAATCTGTACCCATAGCTCAGACTGGAAATAATTAACCGGTGGCTCCCACTTGATGGCAAAGTGAGACGCCTCGCACAGCAGCTTGTGCAGATGTTCACACTATGATCACCCCCTCTTCCTTGTGATTTTGAGAAAACACTTAGCACTCGCCCCTCTGAAAATCAGGCCTACGTAAGGCATCTCTAAGTGGGCACCCCAAAAATGCAGGGGCTCAAAATCACCCAACGCTACTACAAATCTTGGCCTTGGGCGAATAGTTGATGGATTCTAAGGCCAGAAGGGGTCATTGCAATTATCTTGGTTCATCTCTTGTATGCCATAGGCCATAGAACTTACCCCAAAATAATTCCTGTTTGAGCTACAGCAGATCATTGAGAAAAACACCCAATCCTGATTTTAAAATGGCCAATGATGAAGCCTTGGAAAGCTGGAAGCCTTGGAAAGCTGGAAAACGGCATGAAATCTGGCATATGAACTATTTGATGCCTATGCCTGAATGGTTGCCCCAGCTCTGTACACGGGGGGGGGGAAATATAAATCAAATCCTTCAACTAGTAGTTTTCAACCTATGTCTAAGATTTCCAAAGGGGTTGAAATTTTTTAGCGGTCCACAAATGAAAGAAGGTTGAAAACCACTGCCCTTAGAAAAAAAGCACGACATTTGTCAAATTCATTATTCAATCACCTTTCACTGGGGCCGCCCAAAGGCCTTTTTGGGAAAGCCTGCTTGCGCGGCTGGCTAGGCGTGCGGTTTGGCAACGGAGGAGGAGATCTGCGGGTGCGAGTCCTCACGCTCAGTGCTGCCACTATTTGGTGTTTCACTTAACGCCCCAGCTCCCGGAGTCATGTGATTGGGGGAGAATCTCACCTTTCATTTTAAAGTAAGTTTCTAGCTCTGGTGGTTGCAGGAAAAAGCTTGATAATATGACTTCCCTTTACCCCCCCCAAAAAAATAGAAGCTCAAATATCTTATTGTTGTCTCATGTTTGGGGGGGAGGGTGATTTTTGAATGTTTGGTGTTGGCAATGCTACCAGTATAGAAATGCTCATCAGTGCAGATCAAGTGAAACAGATGAGCCCACGGATGGCTTTTGGCCTTGCTTGGGTACAGCACAGAGTAGCATGATAATCAGCTCAGGACAGGGACATAACGAGCTGGTATGTAAGCTTGTTGCATGTCTCCATAGTCTGATCACCCCTGGATTCCACCCAAGCACTTTAGGGCAAAAAGCCCTTTAAGACTAAGGTAGGGGGTCGACTTTCTGCTGTGAAAGCCCTAAAATGTGGGATTCTGCCCCTTTGGAGAATCCAGCTCAGCACAGACCTCCCTAGCTGTTACAAGTGGGTCTGGAAGGATTAGATGTTTATCAGTAAATGTTAATAAACGTCCATTTCACCGCACGCGCACGTAATGTTTCCATCGATAACAATAGAACTGTACAGCTAGGCAAAGTTAGGACAAAGCTGCCTGCAAACGTCTTAGAGTTTGATTTAAGGCTCTTTATTTGGTATGTTTTGACATGTGATGTTGACAGTTTTGTGCTTTAACATTTATAAGGCTTTAACTTTTTGAATCCCAACATCGATGGTTATTAAATAATTAGTGTCCGATTTCCCCACAACTGTGCACATTTAAATAAATGAAAATCGGGGGGGGGGGGGGGGAGATGCTTAAAACCCATAATTTTATGCAACTGTGAAAATTTAAATAGATCAAAATAAATGTTTAAAACCAAACATCAACGTTATCTGTTGAAATTAGAAAAAAAAAAAATCAATTCCTGCCAAGCCTGGTTACAAGCAATACCCCTTTAACTATGTTACATTTCTATAGCATGTGTCATAGAAAAGAGTCC